TGGCTGTGCATAAGCCCGTGCCAGGAGCAGGGGCAAGGGGCCCCCCACAAGCATCTGTGGCCATGGTTGTGTCTGTGCCACAGCAGGTATAACTCTGATGGGATTGTGGCACACGGATAAGTCCACGCTGAAGAAGGTACATCTCGAAGCGTCTGTGGCTGTGGATAAGTCTATGTTGCAGCAGGTGCACCTTGAAGCATTATTGGTTGTGCATGAGGTCATGCTGGAGCACCTCAAAGTGTGTGGCCATGGAGAAGCCCTTAACAGTGCAGATATATTGCTGGAGGAACTGGAACTATGGGTAAGGCCACGTTGGAGCAGATTTATTTCTGGAGGTAGTGTGGCCTGTGGAGACGGCCGTTTTGGAGCAGGTGCACCTCGAAGTGACTGCAACTGTGGATCAGTCTATGCCGCAGCAGATATACCCCTGGAGAGACTGTGGCTCACGGAAGGGACTGTGAGACAGTGCCCCATCCCTGGACACATTCAAGGTCAGGTTGGACGGGTATCTGAGCAACCTGATCTAGTTGAAGTTGTCCCTGCTCACTGCAGCGGGGCTGGACTAGATGACCTTTAGAGGTCCCTTCCAACCCAAGCTATTCTATGATTCTATGATCTACCTATTAGCTGTGCTGAATGGGAGAGGATTAAACACTGGGATTCAAATCAGCTTGATAAGCTCGGGGATGTCTAAGCCAAAAGCAGTATAGCAATAGCAAACAAATGATGTAGTCTTTCTCTGTTACATACACAGCATAGTTAATGTTCACATGCACAGTAGTTCTGTTTTCCTAAATGCCAGACTTACTGTGCTTGCACAAGAGTGTTACATATGAGTAATAGATCCAGCACTTTCTGGAGGCACAGCTTTACTGTTCATATAACCACTGACAGAAAGCAAGTGCTCATGGCCTTCTCATATCCTATTCTTGTCTGGTTCTGCAAAGCACCCAGGAAAGAGGCTGGCTGCCCGCACACCACTGCTACAAGATTCCCAAACTTGCGTTGTGCTGAGACATCTCTATGCAGGAAGGAACAAGCTGCACACTTTAAGAATAGCTCTGAAGCCAGGAGAAAGCTGCTTTCAGCTAACATCTTTCTTCCATCTGTCAAATGAGAGAATGTGTTCCCATTACGTGCCGGGAGAAGAAGCCATACACTGAGCATCCCACACAAAAATAGTCCTTTCTCTTACCTAAGATCTCAGATAACTGGGATAATTTTTATTTTCAAAAACATTTTAGCTTTTGAGGAACCCCTTGAGAAGTCACTTGCCCGTGGGTTTTGGATGCTGAAATGACTTCACAATGCTTCTTAGGTTTCCTATGTCACTTAAGCGTGGCTAAAATGTTACGTCATGACTGCTATTATTTTCTTAGTCAATTAAGCATATCCTACACACAATTCTTTCCTCAGTATTAATTTTTTTCTCAAGTCCTTGTACTTGCAATGTCAGTGTCTTTTTAGACATTGTCTCTAAGTCTCAACATATCTGAACTACTTTTCAATAAAATGTATAAAAATTTTCTACAAGTATTTATTGACATCATTCTTTTCACAGAAAAAAATCTTCAATGCAATATCAAAATCTGCTATGAAATTTGCTCTAAGACTGATGGCATGTATAAAATATTTCCATCTCAAGAATTAACTTTACAAATGGTATTTCTCCTGGAATGTCTTAACCTTATCTAATAATAATAAGCCATAAAGTGCTCTAGTTAATATTAATGTGAAACTTGAATAACTTAACTTACATTAGTGCAAGATGAGAATTTGGGCTACCAGCTCTAATCCAACAAAAATAATGGGTATTTTGAAAAGCAGAAATCTAATTGAAAGATTTCAACTCTGCCTATCTCTTACAAACATACCAGTTTACCCTCTTATGAAATGTTCTCCTCAAATACAGAATCATCAGGGAAAATATTTTGAGAAGTATAGGTAAACATAACTTTTTATGCTGGTTAAATACTGCATAAGAAACTACAATGATTAATTCATCTATATTTGGACAGATATGTGTGGTTTTTTCCTATTAAAAACTACTTCAAGCTCTAGAAAGTGGTTCCTAAACAGACTACTGGTGTTTGAATTACAGAAATTCATCACTCTTTAGGAAGCCAGCAATTATGAGTAAAAAAAGACAGTCTTTCTTTTCAGCCACTAAATGCCTGTTGCATTTTCAGGCTGCAGAGATGAATATTGATGAGAATAACAAAAAGAGCTTTAAAAAAGACCTGTAATCTTGACAATAGATTTGCTGATTGATTTTTACCCTCTAAACTTATTCAATACTGCCTGAGTATATGTCTCTAAGAAAGTGTTGTTCCATAGTGCTTTTTAAAGCACTTAACTTCCACCTCAAAATCTGAGTTAAAAAGTATCACAAGACAGGAAACATTAATAGTAAAACTAAAAATAACATCATCAGCAATGTTATTAAGGTACTAAAACACAACGACTCATCAAGTTTTAAATTAAATGAGGAACAGAAAAGAGGTACAAAACAAACAAACTAAAAGAATTTTGATCTAATGAGATTCAAATTAGTGAGAATCCAATTATGGTTTGAGATCTTAAAATATTTAGATGGTATGCACTACTTTGAATGCATGACGACAGAACTAAACTCATCAACAAACAGATATACAGAAATGTTTCATGGTTCCTTGCAGGATGTGGAATTTTTTTAGATCTTCAGCAAACTGTTGTGAATAGAGCAACAGTGGATTACATTAGATAAAACTTGCCATGATCCAAATTTTTGGGCCCCATAACTATTCCATCAACTGTTCCTTCAAGGGAACTTAGTTTTGAATAGGAAATTTTGTATTTTTACTGTGTAAGCTCTCCTGTGTTGCTGAGTCATTTAAGTGAAGACCTGTAATGCACAGCTTCAGCTTTCGACTGCCTTTTGTTTTGGTGTAACATTCTTGCATCAGACACGTTAAAAACATGGTCCTTCAGGACTGTTTTTTCCAGCTCAGCAGGGAAGGTGCTAAAGACTACATCACCATTATTCAGCCCATGCTTCAAGCCATTCTGTGTTACTTATCTCTGGTTTAGATGATGTTGATTATTCCAAGTAACTGCATAACCATCTTGTTCTCAACTGGTTTCAAGAGTATCTCTATATCTTGATTCTGTCCTCCTTTCTACATTAAGCATGTTTTTAAAAGACCTCAGTAGGAGTTTTATGACAGAATCTGGTCTCAGCATTGGTATACTCTTCAAAAGCAGACATTATTAACAGTGTTTTAATAAAAACCTGTTACTGAGTGCAGACAGCACTAGAATTATGATATATTAACAATCCATTCATTAATTTTCTAAAATTTAAACAAGAGAACAAGAAAAATGTTCTCTCAGAAGTATGAAAAACAGAAGAAATACTTCATCAGCTAAGAGTGGGGATTAAGATTACAAAATTTTGTTTGAATCATAGCATTGCTGAAAAATTAATAAATTCATAGTTAAACTTTAAATATTTATTGTAATTCATCACATGCTACTTTTATATAACCTACTACTTGTACCATTTATCTCACTTGTCTAATATGGTATGTGGAATATTATTGTCTTTAATAATCTTTGGTGTTTCAGTGCACAGACTCGTAGTATATATAGGTATTGACTAATATATCCAGATACAGAAATTGTTCAAAACTTCTAAGTTTTCCCATATAAAAGAAACCCTTGTTCTCTTTTATAAGTGTTCCATCCAGTAAGTCATGATGCATCAAAGTCTCTTCCAGCATTGATGGAATTGACATTCAGCCTCATGCACTGACATTCAGCCTCATGCTCTAGACTGAGAAGTCCTTCAATAACTCTTTTCATTCTCCAGCATTATCAAACTGCAAGCAGACTAATCTCTATTTACCTCAATTATTCTACACATGTTACTCCCAGAACACTCCATGCACCTTACACCAGGTTTTATTCCTGCCCTAGTATCTTGTACTACATATCTGCATCACATGTGGCAGCTTTCTGAGCCCTACTGGTGTCTACTTCCCCTCATTAATTCTCCTTATACAGATTTCCAAAATCAAATAGTAAGTTTTCATGCTAGGCCCACTATTTCTTTTGTTTGGAATGCTAGTAGAAGCCTCCACTGATACATTCTGGTATGCAAAATATAAAAACAATTCCTTTCTATCACCAATTAAAAAATCTATAGTTTAAGTCAGCTAGCACCAAAAATGATTGGAAAAATGACTGCAAGTTATTCTGCCCACAGCTGAGAAGCAAAATTCATGTACACAGCAGCAAATCAAATATGAAGCCTGCAGGAAGTCTCCACATCTTACATCAAAGGCAGGTATTAGGAAAACAATGTTTTATCCAAGGCTTTTAAGAATACTTATATAAGGAGCAAAGTCTTTCCGGGCCAGCTTCTGTGTAAAGACAACATCTGAGTTTCATTGGCAGCCTTATTTACACATATGTAATGACAGTCTATAAACAGATTGAAAAGCCAAAAATAATTAAAATAAATTCTAAACAGTCATCACTTCAAAATATAGATTTTACTCTCCTTTGCTTTGTTTGTCAGTTACATCTATACAAAGTGAGTCCAATGCAATGACATTATGTTATGCCACATTTGCATATGCAAAAAACATGTCTACAAAAACAGTAGAGAATTATGTTTATCTCCATTCAAAAAAGTGTTTCAAATAACTTGAAAGCTATAAGTGTGAGTTCCCTCACTTGCATAATAACAGAAACTATACCTTTGGGAGAAGCTGGATTGCTTGGAGTATTCTCTGTCTGTGTCCAGAGTTAAGGATTCCTATTTCCAAGAGATCCTGGTCCTCCATTACATTGCTTCCCTAAAAGAGGGGAAAAAAGGTAGAATAAAAATGAAAAAATAGCAGATGCCTTCAATAGCCTGAAACAAGCCCTTCTGCTGCATTTAAAAGACAACATTTTTCTTGACTTACAGTATCTGACAAGAATCGTAAATTGCTGATGATTGCATTCATTTTTACGATGACAATATATGGTGGAAGGTGCTTGAACTCGTGGACAATTACTATACTGCTGGCAGCATTGCCAGTGGAGAAATTGTAGCTTTCACTCAAGCCAAATACCAGGTGTGAACCTTCTTTCTTTTGATTGAAACCAAGGACATGACTAGAGAAATGCTCAAAAACTTCATTTTTTTATTCCCCTTCTACCTCACCCAACTATATAAGGTTCATTTTGCTGCAGACTTAGCATAGAATAAGATGAGCAGAGTGGATGAGGATAAAATTATTTAGTTCCTCGTTAGTAAAATGGTGAAGAAACTGAAGAGGTTTCAAGTGGTATCAACAAACCCCATACAGTCCCCACCCCCCTGAATTTAACTATACCAGTGCAGTCCTAACTTGACCCATCACTGCTCTCATCTCCCTGCTTGTGGTCAGGTCAGATGCAAACAGCTGAAAAAGACCATCTGCTCAAACAATGCCCAAAATAAGTGCACACAAAAGTCTATAAAATAAGACTCCACAATTCAGGCTTCTATTCTTAGGAGTTGCTACCAGTAGGAGAGGACCTATATCTCCACAAACAGGATAATACAACTCCTAAGTTCAAGGAGTCTGACACCACTTAGACAGTAAGTTCAGCAGTTGAAGGTTAAGGTACTTGGTTAGCTGGCAGTGACTACTGGGAATCACAGGAGGCACAACAGTAGCTCAGAAAGGCAACTGCAGCCAGGGATCAAAGAAGATGGTTCAAAGTAGGCTGGCAATCTTGTACTGCTTTTTTAGACTACCTCACTTCAGACAAAAACTCAGTTGGTTTTGTTTTGGGATTTTTTTATTTATTTTTAAAAAGTTTCTAACTATTACAGTTGTGAACAAAACCTGCAAAAAACAGGTGATCTGTCTGAACTCTTAGCCCTGTTGGAGTCTCATGACACTAATTTGCTAGAAGCAAGAATTCTTATTATTTGCACTTGTTTAACATCATCATGAAATAGGCTTTATGTGAGCAAATCCATGAAAAACTTCATCTCCACCTTTCCATTTCGCTTGCTGCTTCTGACTCAGTAGAGCTCTTAGCAGCAAAATGAAAAGCTAATAGGAGCATAACAGAACATGCTTAAATACTTTGCTGAATCAGGGCTTAATAATGGATATGAATTCTTTCTGAATATCAAATCTCCTGTCCCACAGCAACAGCTTTCTTTAAAAAAGCACACTGGAATATGCAATACTTCACCCTGTTCAGCTGCTAAATCTTCACTCTTTTCAGATGGACTGATTAGTTTACAGATGTACACTTGAGGACTCTCAAGTGCTACTCTGCGAAGCATCCTGCAAAATCTAGGGGAGGTCTTTTTAAGGCAATCATGAACACTTTGCAAAACTATTACATTTAAAATTATATTTCACAGTAAGTGGTATGATTTAAGACTACAAGTCTGCAAATCATATCCTGAAAGAATTTCTATGCATCATTCAGAAGAGGGGCAGGCAGTGACCTGCTCTAGGGAGAAGCTGTGCAATCATGCCAGTTTAAGTAGATCACGTGGTGTAAGAGTGAATGTGGCACAGGCTGTGCAAACAGTGATAGTGATGAGGTGGGGTAAATACCCCCTTCATCTCCCTGGTAAACACATACAAAACATAATTTCCCCTTTCTTTCTTTCTCCTGTAAATAACCTCGAGGAGGCTGTAAACTTAGAGGAAGAACTGGGGAAAAAAGCCCTGCATTTTGGGCTGGATTCTCCAACTGTTGCAAATAGCTAGTGTAAGTGGATTTAAGCAAACTGAGGCAGTTGAGGATCTAGTCCGAAACAAAAGCTATACATTTTTGTTCATTTTAATAAATGCAGCTATTTTGTTTACAGCTTTTTTTTATTGCTTTCACTTCATTTTACTGTTTTTCAGATTTCAGCTTTCATCACTGCATGATGTTTACACATAATCACAGTATACTCATCACTGAGCTACTACACACTGTTTACTGGTGTCAGTAACCTTGGCATCCAGCTTCAAATATTGCAATGTTTAAAACCCAGTTCAACTAACACTTAGGCACAGGAAAAATCCATTTGCACAAAGTTGTGGCATAGCAGAGACAGCATTATTTTATTAATTCTTTACTATTGCTTTTTCCTTGTATGTTAGTTCATATATTTTGTTTCTTTGCAGTTGGTATTATATATTTTTTAAAGTATGTCAAGGTTACAGAATCAAATACTTAAAACTCAGGAAAGCCTGGAATTATGTTGCCTCCTTGTCCCCTGTCTGAGAAGGCAAGAACCTGATCTTTCAGTGTGCTCAGGTTTTGGAGCTTGTCCTATGTGCTACCATCAGTGTCAACGGTAGCATACACTCATCCCTCCTCTGAAACAGACTTCATTGTCTCCTGCCATGGTGCTAAACCAGCTCTTCATCTTTCCACAAGAGCAAATCAGGAAACTTTAGATATCTCAGTATTACATAGAGGAGTAAACTGATAGTAATAGAAAGCTGCTGTCTGCTTTGCAGACATGCCTGTGAAGAGAAAGAAACAGCCTCCTTATTCCTATCTGGGTGTCCGATCCTATTCTCCCCTTAATCCCAGTCCCTGATTCTTTTTTTTCCTAATTCCTCTTCTTGCGCTCCTCCAGTCTCCTTCCATAGGCTCCTACGTATAGAGTGAGGAAAACCTCACTTCCTTCTGCAGCAGATCAGAGACAAGAGGAGAAATTCTCTCTTTGCTCTTAGCTGCCAAGCACACATTTATTATCAGCTGGGACAAATTTAATCTCAACTAACTTTACAGAGATGACATGGTAAATGTAATTAAAATGAATATTAATGCAAGAATGTCTTTTCACATTATTTCAGCCTTAAAAATAGCTTAGCTATGTTAGCTGAAACATCATGAAAAAGAAATTATTCTAGTAGACACCTAGAGAATTTGAGTCCAAAGATTTAATGTTGATAAGCTTATACACAGAACAGATTCTTACAACAGGAAATATGGGACAGCAATCTCTAGTGAGGTTTTTATTCTTTTATTATGTTATAAAAACATAAGAGGCTTTGTGATACTGTAGTTTCTTAAGTCTATATGAAAACTTAGTTGGAAGGAAAACTTACTTCTTGGAATTAAAGCAATAAGAATACATCAAAATTGCTTATACTAGGACAGATTCAGATCTCATTCACTTCAGCTTACACTGTTGAAGTTCCTGTCTTGTTAATGCATAACAGGCTTACTTATGAATTAGAAAGATTCTGGTTCTGAAGTTCCAGTTAGGAGAGAGTGTAGCTGCCCCCTCCCCGGGATTTGTGGTTCTGCACAACTCCCAGGAATATCATCTTTTCCCTTGCAAGCACACACAGGAAGCCAGTCTCCTGAGTAAGAAGGCAGTAGTTTCACAGAACAGTTGGGCTTAAGAAGGAAGGGAAAATGACTCTGCATGTGGGAGACTGGAGGCATATGAAAAACAACACAATTTAAAAAACCCAGAAATTTTGCCAAGATCTGAGATAGTTCCTATAAATAAGTTCAGAACAAAATACATAATGGTACACTATGAGATAAAGATTTTACTGGCATTTATTTGGGTTTTTCCACACAAAAACACCTCTGGCACTCTCCACCTGAAGTTAATACAGCCTTTTGCAAAAATGCTGCATTAGACCTTTATGCCAGATTCCCAATGTATGTAACTACAGATATACATATATGGAATCTTTAGAATACAATTTAATCTGGAACATGTCAGATGTATAGAAAAAAAAATTACTCTCAAACACTGGCACTGGTTGCCCAGAGAGGTGGTAGAGGGGTCCCACCCCTGGAAACATTCAAGGCCAGGTTGGACGGGGCTCTGAGCAACCTGATCTAGCTGAAGATGTCCCTGCTCCTTGCAGGGGGGTGGGACTAGATGGCCTTAAAAGGTCCCATCCAACCCAAGCTGTTCTATGATTGTATAAGGTGGGGGATGCACGGGAAGCTGGGAGGGGACACAGCCAAGACAGCTGACCCAAATTGGCCAAAGGGATATTCCATATTATATGATGTCATGTTTAGCATATAAAGCCGGGTGAAGAAGAAGGAAGGGAGGGACATTTGGAGTTACGGTGTTTGTCTTCCTAAGTAACTGTTACATGTGATGGAGCCCTGCTTTCCTGGAGATGGCTGAACACCCGCCTGCCCATGGGGAGTGGTGAATGAATTCCTTGTTTTGCTTTGCTTGTGTGTGCGGCTTTTGCTTTGCCTATTAAACTGTCTTTATCTCAAACCATGAGTTTTCTCCCTTTTACCTTTCTGATTCTCTCCTCCATCACACTGTTGGAGGAAGTGAGCGAGTGGCTGTGTGGTGCTTAGTTGCTGTCTAGTGTTAAACCATAACATACAGCTTTTTCTATGCTCAGCTATGTCAGGTCGAGGAGGAAAGGCAGTGAATCTGGTGCCTAAAGCTGTGTAAGAGCTGCTACCCACCAGGCTGAGTTGAATTCATTTGCTGAGCAGCCACTATTGAGATCAAGTTCAAGTGGAGATGCCAAGTGCCAAGTGCCAAGTGCTACACCCATGTAGTGATCTGCTGCACCATCAACACTTTGTATTTGCACCAAATCTTACTCTGGCTGACTGAGACCTGACACTGCAGGAGCACAGCTGGGGGGATGTGAATGGAGTTTGGGCATCAGGCCTCATGCTTGTATTTTCAGGGTTGCTGGAAATACAACTTAGCACAGAAAGGAAAAAAGAGGTGGTGCAATTAATCACAGAATCACAGAATCACTAAGGTTGGAAAGGACCTTCAAGATCATCAAGTCCAACCATTAAACCAACGCCACCATGTCCCCTAAACCATGTCCTGAAGCATCACATCCAC